AAAAAAAAAAAAAAAAAAAGTGAATCCAGAAAGTTCAATAACTAGATACGGTAAGAATTTATTATTTTGTGACAGGGTCCTTGTTCTGACACCCAGGCTGCAGGATCATGACTCACTGCAGCCTAGAACTCCTGGGCTCAAGCAATCCTCCCACCTCAGCCTTCCAAGTCGCTGGGACTACAGGTATGTGCCACCACGCATGACTGATTTTTAAAATTTTTTGTAGAGTCGATGTCTCTCTATGTTGCCCAGGTTGGTCTTGAACTCCTGGCCTCAAGTGACCCTCCCCCCTTGGCCTCCCAAGGTGCTGGGATTACAGGTGTGAGCCATTGCACACCTGGTCTGGAATTTATTTCCATCTGAAACATCAGGTGATACCCCTGCCCAGCTGGCTGAACCCCAGGCTCTTTCCACTGGCGTCCCTGCCACCTCCTCCCCCAAGTTCTGGATGTTCTTTCTATCTGACCAGCACTGCCAGCAGCACTGCTTTTGAACTGCTTTGTTCTGGAAGCGACAACTTCCACTCTTAGTGAGAACAGGTCCTACGAGACCACCAGGCAGCAAGGGAGGCTGGGAAATGTAGTTTTCAATTGGAGGCTGCCCCTACCCCCATGGCACAACAGGTCTTGTCCTTGCCACGGCTGACATTTGGGGCCGGATGATCCTCTCTCTGTTGGGAGGCTGTCCTGTGCATCGTAGGACATTTGGCAGCATCCCTGGTCTCTACTCACCAGGTTTCTGGGGAGCAAAATTGACCCCTGCATTGGTTGAGAACCTCTGTACTGTAGTAAGGGAGGGGCATGGGATGCCCAGCGGTCAGTTCAACTTAGGCTCAGCAACCCTCCCGGCTCGCCTGTTCCCCAGATGCTGCTGTACACCCTCACCATGTTTTAAAATGCTAGGAGATTTCCCATAAAATCTGAAGTTCTGAGCTGGGCATGGTGATACGTGCATGGACTCATAGCTACTCAGGAGGCTGAGGTGGGAAGATCGCTTGAACCTGGGAGTTGGAGACCAGCCTGGGCAACATGGTGAGACCTCGTCTTTCCCATAAAATGAAATAAAAAATTAACCAGGCATGGTGGTGTACACCTGTAGTCCCAGCTACTCTGGAGGCTGAAATGGAAGGATCACTTGAGTCCAGGAGGTCGAGGCTGCAGTGAGAGACAGGAACACACCACTGCATTCCAGTCTGGGTGACCGAGCAAGACCGTCTCTTCAAAAAAAAAAAGGCTGGCTTTCTGTCTTTTTTGAAAATTTGGGAGACTGGCTAACAGTGAGCCCCACATTTCTGTCAAGCAACAGTCCCTTGAAGCTGAGAGAGGGTCCATTTGGCTCTCCTGTGAGCCACAGATGCAGGCCTGTCCTGTATTCTGACACAAGCCCTTCAAGCATCCGTCATCTGTCTGGTCACGGTGGAGACTGAGTGTCTGGAAGTCTCTCCCTTATCGACAGTGTCCCATGCCTTGTGCTGGGCCCGGAGGCAGACAGTGGACACGCTGAGGTACTGACCTTCGTGACAGAAACCTCCAGTGACCATCCCAGTGTGTGGGGAAGCAGGGAGCTTTGGGGCAGGACAGGAAGAAATCTGGGTTAACAGGTGAATGGAAAGGTCACCAGCACACCGAAGACCCTGAGATGGGGGGCAGGAAGCAGGGGGATGCCTGTTATGTGCCGTGCCCCCCACTAAGTGCCGAGACATGGCAGTGAAGTTGACAACCTGAAGGTGCATATGTCACACCCCCAATCCTGTGAGGTGGGCAGTATCACCTCCATTTTACAGACGGGAAAGTTGAGGCTCGCAGGGCACAGCGACCTGCTCCAAGGCCATGGCTGGAAGTTGAACCCGTGTCTGCCTGGCTCCCATTCCACTTCTCCCCCTTGTCTCTGGGGTGCTGGTCTCTCCATGGAAAACAACCCTGGCTCTGTCGGACACAGAACCGAGGGCTCCTTGACCCCCTAGAAGTCCAG